GTGGTTCCAAGCGAACATCTCCAAGCACTCCCCCGCCACGCAGATTGAAACCATCGCTGTGGGCAACAGTGTTCGTGGACCCCAACAACACCACCAAGTTCCTCGTCCCAGCCATGAAGAACGTCCACGCCTCTCTCGCAAAGCAAAACCTCCACACCGCCATTAAAGTCTCCTCACCGCTCGCACTCTCGGCGCTTCAAAGCTCCTTCCCCGCCTCCTCCGGTTCCTTCAAAGCCGAACTCGTCGAACCGGTTATCAAGCCGTTGCTGGAGTTCCTCCGCCAAACCGGTTCCTACCTCATGCTCAACGCCTATCCCTTTTTCGCATACGCCGCCAACGCTGATAAGATCTCCCTCGACTACGCGCTCTTCAAGGAAAACGCTGGTGTTGTTGATTCTGGTAACGGTTTGAAGTATAGTAACCTCCTCGACGCACAAATCGACGCCGTTTTCGCTGCCATGTCAGCGCTCCAATACGACGACGTTGGGGTCGCGGTTTCCGAGACGGGTTGGCCCTCCGTGGGGGACTCTAACGAGGTTGGAGCCAGCCCTGAGAATGCGGCGTCGTATAACGGAAACTTGGTTAAGCGCGTTTTAAGTGGGAGTGGGACCCCCTTGAAGCCCAATGCCTCACTCGATGTTTTTCTCTTCGCGCTTTTCAACGAGAATCAGAAAACGGGGCCCACATCGGAGAGAAACTACGGGCTGTTTTACCCCAGCGAGAAAAAGGTCTACGACATTCCGCTGACGGCGGAGGAGGTTAACGCCTCCTCGTCCACGCCGTCCGCCGTCCAGAAGAGTCAGGTTCCGGTGAGTGGAGGCGAGGCCTCGACGACGTCGTCTAGCGGGCAGACGTGGTGCGTGGCGAGTGGCGGTTATTCCGAGGAGAAGCTGAAGGACGCTCTTGACTACGCTTGCGGAGAGGGTGGCGCCGATTGCACTCCCATTCAACCCGGTGCCACGTGTTACAATCCCAACACGCTGGAGGCGCATGCTTCCTACGCTTTCAACAGTTACTATCAGAAGAAGGCACGTGCATCCGGCACGTGCAACTTCGGTGGTGCTGCTTATGTCGTCACTCAGCCTCCCAGTAAGTTTCTCTCTAAAGTCTAAATTCACTTGTTACTAAAACTATACTGCATCATGTTTGCTAAAATAATTGTTTTTCAAAATAAAATTAATTTAACATGCATTAATTATTTATTAGTACCGACCGACTACGTGCAAGAAATGTTACTCCTATTGATTGTTTGGACCTACATCCGTTGATAATTAAGGTCGAAATAGGACGGTTATTTTGTCGATTTCATTGCATTAAAGCATTATTATTATGCATGAATTAAGAGTTTAATTTGTGTTGCAGAGTATGGGAATTGTGAATTCCCCACAGGATACTGAGTGGATCGACGGAGATGGAGGAATTGCGAGCTTTTTCTTGTTTTTCATTCTTAGGACGCGTTTAGGATTTGAGAAATATGTGATACTGTTTGTAATAAAATTAGTTGGGGGTTATTGATTTCTTTGAACTCATTTATTTGTAATTATCGCTATTTATTTTTTTAATGAAAATAATATATAGAATACTACATTTCTTGAGAACTTTTGTTACTTCTTTACGTTTCTTTGAAGGCTACATTTCTTCTACTCTTTTGAGGCATTTATGTTTCTTGTTGTGAAAGATAATGTAGAAAGCTATATGCAAGCTTCTATAGAATATCTATCAGAGGTTTTTATTTATTTAAATGAGCACTACCATACAAACTTTTATTAGATCCATGACCATACATAAAACGAAGGCTAAACATCAATGATTATATAGAGACAAATTGACGCTGTCATTGAAACAGCAAATTTTCATTATAGGGATATTGAAAACCAAACACCCACTTGGTGCATATATATCCACCATGCCTGGGGGGATGTCAATTTCTGCGGTGGGTGGTTGTGGGGGATTAAAAAACCTATCCTAGGGCAAAAGCTTTCATCAGCTATTTTAATTTCACCATGCCACTGATGTCGTCAATTTCGAAAAGAAAAACGATCAAAGGCCATTCATTGTACACTAGTATAGCTAGGTTGTGTTTTGCCTTTTCTTAGGGAGTTTGTATATAAGTTAAGGGAAACAATTGTCTAAAATGAAAGGGATCAATTTCAAAAAATAAATATATATATACTGAATCAATCTACAAAACTTATATTTCCCTACCAAAAACTTTTTGTTCATGTTTTCAATTACCTAAACAATATATTTTCATGATTTGATGATGTTTCAATTCATAAAGAGACTATTCAAAGAGTAAGAATCAATGAAAATCCCCTGTTTTCTTATTATCCGGCGAAAACTAGTTTCCTGTACTTTTGTCATTGAGGATATATAGGTGCTTAAACTCAATAACTGCAGAGCTCATGAAAAACTAACATGGACCTTATCTATTGTGAAAGATTAGCATAAATAGTCTCATATTTCAATTGAAGTTGATCATCAAAAATAATTTAGTATGGCACATGTGATATGCCAATAACTTTTAAAAACATCACTCAATTTACCAATGTATATGTTGGTAAATAATAAGCAATCTTCAAATTCAAGTAATGAGACTAAATATTATTTTTAATGAATAATTAGGAAATATAGTCATTTTACTACATACAATAATAAAAAAATAATAATGATTGAAATTTTACTACACTGTTATTCAATTAGGAATGATCATATATATTAAATTTATTAATTATTATAAATAAATAAAAAAACTACTTAAAAAGTTATACATATCCCCACCTCAAGTCTACTAGCATTGTGAGTTAAGGGAAAAAAGTATTTACAAACTATGATTAACTTATATCGGTAAATGTTATAAAACTTTACGACATAGAGAAATAAAATTCCAAATCAAGATAGAGATAACAGTACCTAAACATCTGTACGGTCCAAGTCGGATTCCGACCTGCCTACTACGTATGTCAGGCCGACTGTAGCTCTCGCCGATATGTCAGGCCGACTGTAGCTCTCACGATATGTCAGGCCGACTGTAGCTCTCGTCGATATGTCAGGCCGACTGTAGCTCTCACCGATATGTCAGGCCGACTGTAGCTCTCGCCGATATGTCAGGCCGACTGTAGCTCTCGCCGATCACCCCTCTAAGAGTGGTTCGGTTATTATTCGACTTGGTTTCTCTACTTAACCTGGTCGGTATATTTCCGATTCCTTCCGCTTACAAGAACCAACTCGGCCAATACCCGACTGTACCCTCAGTACGGGTATGGTCGGTCGGGGGCCGACACAACTCTCGCATACAGGGACTACCCGATAGCAAGGGCAAGGTCCCACTGTCCCTCACCAAATATTAGCCAGATCAAAACGGTTAAGGAAATCCCTACATTCTCGGGGCCCATAAAGCCCGTAAACAAGAAACTATAAAAGAAAAAAACCCTAGAGTTGAGAAGGCAGATTACACTTTTAAATGCTCTCCCTTTGAGGCTTGACCTAGGAAAAAACCCTAGTGCACCCCTTGGCCAGAACATTTTGGCGCCCACCGTAGGGCTACGTTGAAACTTTTCCTACGCCCCATGTAATACAGGAGAACCCGCACTTTACCATGGCGAGAGGCGGCACAACCAACAACGACTCACAACACCCTACCATGGAGGAGATGATGGCATTGATCAACGGATTGAGGGAGGAGAATGCGCGATCCAGGGAGAGAGAGGAGGCTATTCAACGAGAAAACGAGGAGATTAGGAGGCGGGCGGACGAGATGCAAGCTATGATAACGGCCAACGCCAGGACGGTGGAGGAAGATGTCATGATGGAAGTCCCCAGGGATTTTCGACCTTTTTCGGAGGCCATAGAGGCCGAGACCATCCCGAGGGATCATCGGATTCCCCAAGTCGAACCTTTTGATGGAACTCAGGATCCCAGTCAGCACTTGACGAATTTCCGCGCTCAAATGTTGATTTGTGGAGGAAGTATGGAAGTTCGCTGCAAACTATTCATGGGTACACTCAGAAAAGCAGCACTGGATTGGTTTAGTGGTCTCCCTGACCGATCAATCACCGACTTTGATGTCTTTAGTCGGCTCTTCATGACACAGTTCGCCGCTAACAAGAAGAAACCACCGATCACGTCGGACTTGTTCGATCTCAAACAGCAGCGGGAGGAGTCGTTGAAGGACTTTCTGCAAAGGTTCAACGAGGTCGCCTTGAGGATAGCGTCCTTGGATGAAAGGATGGCAGTCATCGCGTTCCAGAAGGGCTTAAGGTCTGGAGCTTTCGACATCGCGCTAGAGAAAGCGAGTTGTCAAACGATGTCGGAGGTGAGAGCTTTCGCGCTGAGTCATATCAAGACGGAGGAGGGACAAATCAACAAAAGGGTAGCTGAAAGCCGAGAAGCTAGGGTCGTCCCAAGAGATTTTTGTTCCATATAAAAATGTGAAAAGGTTTTTTGCTGAGAAGGTTTTTAATGAGGCACCGCAAACCAATAATTCTTGAATCCTAATAAACATCATCCCTTATTTACAGCCAGTCTCGTGAGGCTTCATCATCTCTTTTTATTCTTTTTACAAAAAGATTTAAATCTGAACCAATCAATCACAACTTAACAAAAAGATTAAAACATTCAAGAACAAACAAATACTGCTGCACACATATGCACACAGATGTAAGAATGATGCAGAAACAAGAAACTTAAATAAGAATAAGAGAAAGAGAAAAGAAAAACACTAAGTTTGAGACTTACATCCACAGAAAGAACAACATCATTTCATTATGATCTTCAAGTAATACAAATTACATGTCTCGCAAAAACCTTCACCTTATTCTAACACTCTTTATAACTTTCACCCCTACGTATTAATCACACTCTCATTCACTAATTTAACTTGTATTTATATTACATCCAAGTGAGAAAGATAAAATATATATATATATATATATATATATATAGTGAAA